TTCCTACTGTGACTAGACCCACATTTAGAGAATATAAATCTAGCAAATGGACAGTGTGGAGCAGGATGAGGACGCAGATAAAGACTGATGAGCTGGATGCTCAGCTAGGATGGATGGGAATTGACTTCAGTGGAGAGACATTGCTCAACAACTGAGGATCCAGCTTTCCTAGAACAGCCACCTCCAATCACTTGTCCCTCATTACTGCACAAAATTAATGAAGCGATCACAACCCTTGGCTTCCAGATCCATGTAGCACATGGGCAGCCTGGACACATTTCTGTGCAATCAAAATACATTTTCAGAAAAACAGAGATAAATATCTGAGACGCCCTTTATTTTGCAATACGTTATCCTTACCTAAGCAATCACCTGCCTTTGCCAGCCTAGGGCTGGCACGGCCATTGTTTCCCTTGTCACTCTGCTATTCTGCAAGAGAAAACAACAATGTGAACGTGCTGTTCAGCTCATCAGGACTCTGATTTCCGTGCGTCTGGTCTCCACATAAATTAGCTCTCAGTGACAATTGTATCCCCGGGCCAGAACCAAAAGAGAATATTTATACCCCCTCCTTTGGGGTGTGAGCAACACACCCACAAGCTGGAGATGTCTGATGTTCTTGGTCCCAAATGGGATTATTTTTGCAGGTTGGAAGGATGGTTTATATTTGCTTTGGTGGCACAGCGGGACAGACTCCTTGGACTGCTGCAGGGTTGGAACATCAGGTCAGACCCAGGTGGAATTATTAGCACATCTTTCATGGCCCTGGGGGATAGCCACACGTGATTGTGTGGCCTCCAATACTCTGCAAACTCCCTGGTGATTCTTTCCTCTGGTTTTCAGGTGAACTGGCTACTTTTTCCTCCGAGAGGAAACTTGAACAAGCCTTCCAGTGCTATGCAGGAGACACGGTCCTTCCCTTTCCCTGTCACACTGTGGGAAATGTTGGGAAAACCACTTTGTCGTCGTCTTCCTGCACATTGGGGATATGAAAGCTTCCCTACCTCCCAAAGCTGCTGCGAGGATCCATGCACCACAGTTTCTGAGATACTCCAGCGATGGGGGCAGTAAAAGCAGAGCAGAGCCAATAACTGATTTCTCTCTTCTGAACTGAGAGTTTTCCTACACCTTGGTGGCTTCCTGTTCTCAATGGCTACGTCTAGACTGGCATGATTTTCCGGAAATGCTTTTAACGGAAAAGTTTTCCATTAAAAGCATTTTCAGAAAAGCGTGTCTAGATTGGCAGGATGCTTTTCCGCAAAAGCACTTTTGGAGGAAAAGCGTCCGTGGCCAATCTAGACGCGCTTTTCCGCAAAAAAGCCCCGATCGCCATTTTCACAATCGGGGCTTTTTTGCGGAAAACAAATCTGAGCTGTCTACACTGGCCCTTTTGCGCAAAAGCTTTTTGGAAAAAGACTTTTGTCCGAACGGGAGCAGCATAGTATTTCCGCAAAAGCACTGACAATCTTACATGAGATCCTCAGCGCTTTTGCAGAAATTCAAGCAGCCTGGGTAGACAGCTGTCAAGTTTTTCTGGAAAAGCGGCTGCTTTTCTGGAAAAAGTGGCCAGTCTCGACACAGCCAATGTGTGAGAGAGACATAGGGGTTGAGGTGATGTCTTTTATTGGCCCCTCCTTTGTTGGTGGGAGCAAGACCATGTTCTGAGCTGATACAAAGATCTTCCTCAAGACCTGGAAGGAGCAGAACCCTTTTCCCACCACCCCCTTGAGTTACTGTAAGTATTTACTATCTGCATCTTACCATTGACCTCAGGTTGTTCCCTGGAACTGAAAAAGTTGTCTGAGCTGGGCTGGTATCCCCAGCTTCCCCAAGGCAATAACTAGCCACTTTGGAACTGTCATGACTTTCTGAAATGGAGGCACAGACACTGGAGACTCGGGGTTATCTAATCACAGAGACCCACACAGGACTTTTCCCTCATTCTGAAGTCGTGAAGCAGCTGTTCACCACCCCAGTTTTCCAACATCAAGCCATCTCACCACATCATTCTGATTCTCCTACACCACATGTGGCAGTCCTGCTAGGATATGCCTCTGGGTGGACTGAGAGTCACCACATCTGTTCCATGGGGCAAGAATGGATTGTCAGTCACCCATCATGGGCAGACCTCTTTGTCACATCAGAAAGTTCTGTCCAGACTCCCTCCAGCATCTTGCCAATTGCCCATCCCATCACTCCTTCCTGGGTCCTAGGGCCAGTGTTGGAGCCAAATCTGTACTTTCGGCAGTGGTCGTATTTTAAGTTTTGTTTGACTTTTTTATATAGCGACATTCTTACTAATATGTATACACTGGAGAGAGTCCAGCAAAGCAACACAAATTATTAGGGGCTTATGAGCTACAAGGAGAGGCTGAGGGATTTGGGCTTTTTTAGTCTACAGAAGAAAAGAGTGAGGGGGGATTTGAGAACAGCCTTCAACTTCCTGGAGGGGGGTTTCAAAGAGGATGGCGAGAGGCTGTTCTCAGTGGAGGCAGATGGCAGAACAAGGAGCAATGGTCTCAAGTTGTAATGGGAGAGGTCTAGGTTGGCTATTAGGAAAAACTCTTTCCTTCAGAGAGTGGTGAAGCACTGGGATGGGTTCCCTAGGGAAGTGGTGGAGTCTCCATCCCTAGACATCTGGGATGATTGAGTTAGGGTTGGTTCTGCTTTTAGCAGGGGATTGGACTCGACTGCTTCCTGAGGTCTCTTCCAACCTTAATCTTCTTTGGTTCTATCATGCTACATGTGAACAAAAGGGCTCTTCTTAAGGACAAAGACGGATAATGTGTATGCTGCTTTTGCCTAAGCCAGATGGGTTTGTTAATAGAGTGCAAACAGATAAGAGCAGTAAAAGTGTGACTGGGCATGGTGGGTGCACACACTTGAAGACTGCTTCAACTTCTATCTCCAGGCAAGGTCAAGCAACCAGTGGGGAGGGGCAAAGGGGATTGGGAGGGAAGGTAAAACACTAAATGGCCAGAGAAATGCCTACCCTGACCATGACACAGGCCTCACTCCTTACCCCTCCCATGGGCTACAAAAGAGGTGGAATGAAGACCCCAGACTCATGATCTTCCAAAATTGAACTTGACAATCGTTTATAAAAGGTGAGACCGAGGACACGGCCTTTTCTATGTAATGAGGCCTACTGAGAAGGAGGGGAATGGAACCCTGAGCAAGAAGGCCCTGTGTTGTCAGAGTTGTGGGACACGTTGTTTGCTGGTAACGAATCCCAATAAACACTGCGTTGTCTACACTTAAAACTTCACGTCTTCGCCTCGCGGCATGAGAGGAAGCAGAGGTGTGAGGGGGCACTATTTGAATTACGGGAGGTGGGCCCGCCTGTTTCTAAAGGCCCCTCCCTTTGTGGGAGGGACCACTGGGCCTGGAATTCAGTTGATCACTGGGGACAAATGATGAATAGCAGGGTCAGGAGTGCGGGTAAAGGTTTAAAACGAGGGAACCAGATAGGGACACTGAGCAGAGAACCTTGGACAGTGCCCACTGCTCCTTGAAGCAGTCCAGGAGGAACTCTGGGCAGATACATGACATTAGGGAAGAGCAGAATTAGGCCCCACAGTTCAGAGCACCCCCTCGTCCAGCGTCTTCCTCCTGGTGTTATAAATGGCAATTTTTGCTAGACCCAGGAAAAGGGTAATGAGGAGGTTTAGTGACTTTGTGGGGCCATGGATGGGGTGTGCATAAATGAACAAGTGTGGAGAAAAGTGCAGCCAGAATCTCAGCAGGAGGTTCTGGAGGAACCAGACAAGCGGCTGCAACCTGGCACATTCAGAGCTGGCGTGTGCCAGGTTTTCCTTCAGGCCGCAGAAGGGAGCAGGTGTCGGGGATATGAGTGAACCGCACCAGGTACTCGCCCATGCAAAAAAAAATAGATAATTGATTAAACTACAGGATCACCCATGGGGCTCTTTCACAAGTTGGAACTTAAGCCAACCAACAAAATAAAAATGTAAACAAACCAAATAAACTGCGACAGATTTCAAGGAGTCAAACCAGTGGTTGTCAACAGTATCTGGACCATGGTCACACGTTAAACAGAAAACAGTGTGAGGATCTCCTTGCCGTAAGTTTTCAGAGACCGTCTTCCTATCTAGCCATAAAGAAAGGGATGATGTGTACAACTCTTGGAAATCATTGGGGACCTCCCCTTTGGGAAGGCAACCACCATACTGCAAACACCATGTCTAGCCATCATTGGAGATGTCTAAGAGCCGGTTAGGCAACACCTGTCAGGGATGATCTAGACGGTGATTGGTCCTGCCGTGAGGGCAGGGGACGGGACTGGATGACCTCTCGAGGTTCTTTCCAGTTCTGTGATTTCTATGACACCCCTTTGAGAAGGCATTTCCCATACTGAGACCCCATGACTGAAACAAACCATCCTAATTGCACTATGTAGTGGTGTCCTCATCCTGATTTTGCTCAGGCTAGCATTGCATCAGAAGACTCAACTGCACATCATACAGAGTAAGGCTCCAGGCCGACAAAAACTAATGCACATAATTAGCTTTACTCATGTGAGTAATCTCATTGAACGCAAGTGGATTACTCACCTGAGGAAATTTAAGCAACCACACAAACACTTCCAGGACTGGGTCTATAGTGTTGAACTAATGCCCACTGCACTTCTTGGAATAGCTTCATGGATTCCAGTGGTTAATAGCTTGAATGCTTAATAAATGACATGACATGATATGTTAATATTTATTTATATTTATTAAACGGGTATAGTTTATTCAGATTTCTTTTGAAAGGGAAAGGGCAGGTACATTTTGCATGAACACTTGTCCACTGGGGGGAAGGTTTCTCAGTACAGTACATTCAAATTGCCTGAACTACAATAAAGTCACCAACACATTTACTTCTTCCCTTTGCTATCAGAGCAAACGTGTTAATACTGACATTTTTTCTATATAACGGGTCAGACATTGTTTTCTTAATTATTCCCGATGCGATCTCTCGTCTAATTACTTCATGATAAAACTACTCCAAAACCAACATTTTAATGATGCCCAGAGCATCTTCTTATAATCCCTGATAACTGGAGTGTTCTAAGAGATTCTCAAGAAATGAAGTAAATATGATGCTTCTTGGCATAATAAGATTGTAACCAATGCTAGATAATCTCACTTCTTGTCTTTCCCTTCTTCCTCTTTCAGGATCTTCAAGTTTGGGACCAATTTCATTTCTTGTGGCCTCTGTTTACACCAGGGCAGGATTTGGTCCACTGTGTACAATGCTTAAGAAATAGCAACTCAAAGCAGGTCACTGAGGGCCTGAGTCTGTGGTCCTTGCTCATATGGACTGCTACTTTTGAGAGTTGTCTCATACAAGTCACATGCTACTTGATGTGAATAAGGCAAGATAGAATGAGGCACCAAACAATCTAAGGACTATAGGACACACTAACATAGACAAGGATGGATTTTTTTTCAAATATCTCCATGTGCTAGAACATTTATAAACCACTACCTGGACTACCACTACCTGGACTCTGATGTCCTTAAACATGCTGACTAGCACTCTGCTCCATGCATGGTCTCGTTGACATCCACAGGGCTACTGCAGAGAAATGTGCCAGTCAAAGTGACATCATCTGGCTATAAGAAGCCACATGGCTATGAAACTATGTTAGGGAGATAAATCAGAATCTCCTATAAGAGTTGCAGTGTGGAAATAGCTTGAAAAGAACACCCTCCCCCCAAAAAACAATGTAATACTCATAGAGCTTTATGTGTATGCAAAATTAATATGAATCTATATTTCAGTGGAATTGAACTCTGGTTAAGTTGAACAAAATTGGCCCAAACGCCTATCTGGTGTAAATCACCACAGCTCCACTGATGTCAATGGGCCAGTTGATGTAATTTGGAGTTGCTGTATTGTTTTTATCTTGCCTTACTATTAGCATCTATCCAGGATCTTCCCCCCTCCCATCACTTTGATCTGCCTATTGAGCATCCTATATAACTAGTTGTAACCTATTGTTTGGCAGTGTTCTCTGAGTTTAGCAAGTGACACTCCACCCTGCGCTGCGTGTGTAATAAACTCTCCTGCTTGCTTCACATACGGTGTCCAGATTGTTCCTTCACTATGAACGGGTAATTTGATTTGGTTTTGCCAGGGAATGACTTTTTGATTAAACAAAATATCCCTCCCCGTCCCCCTCCGATATTTCCATTTTCATTTAAACTTTTTCCATTTTCCCAGTTTTTTTAAAAAGTCCATTTTAAACTTTGCAGGGATCAAAAACTTGATTTTTTAAAGAAAAGGATTACAAAAATTAAGCAAAATTTTGACAGAAGCAAATGTTGTTATCCCATGGGTGCTGAAGACATTCCCAAGAAAATAAAGTTTCCTAGCTTGGTCTATCAAAGACACCAACCTACTGCCAGACTAATGCTGTTAGCTCCAGTATAACTACTAAATGGCAACTAAAAAAATGAGCTGTCCTCCTACATTGTCCAGCAGATCCACTGGGATATATTGTTTATTCCTTCTCCTGAACCCTGCTGTGCAGTATTGATGTCATGTTTCTCATGGACGCAGTCTGGAGGCAGCTAATACTTAGCTCTAGTCACCTTGTACGTTGTTCAGAAACTTCTACAATTCAGCAAAAGAAAAAATGCAATGGAAAAGTGTGGGCCATGGATAATGGACAGATTATTTTTTATAAACTGGGTCCATCTTTGTATGATGTGCATTTTTAAGAGTTTGTAAATTCAGGAATGAGTAGGGAGGATATGGATGGTACAGATGCTATAACAGTGGGATGTTAGATAGCATGGTTGGGACCATTCTACTGAACATGGAATCATAGAATACTAGGACTGGAAGGGACCTTGAGAGGTCATCTAGTTCAGTCCCCTGCCCTCATGGCAGGACCAAATACTGTCTAGACCATCCCTGATAGACATTTATCTAACCTACTCTTAAATATCTCCACAGATGAAGATTCCACAACTTCCCTGGGCAATTTATTCCAGTGTTTGACCACCCTGACAGTTAGGAACTTTTTCCTAATGTCCAACCTAAACTTCCCTTGCTGCAGTTTAAGCCCATTGCTTCTTGGTCTATCCTCACAGGCCAAGATGAACAAGTTTTCTCCCTCCTCCTTATAACACCCTTTTAGATACCTGAAAACGGCTATCATGTCCCCCCTCAATCTTCTCTTTTCTAAACTAAACAAACCCAGTTCCTTCAGTCTTCCCTCATAGGTCATGTTCTCTAGACCTTTTATCATTCTCGTTGCTCTTCTCTGGACCCTCTCCAATTTCTTCACATCTTTCTTGAAATGCAGTGCCCAGAACTGGACACAATACTCCAATTGAGGCCTAACCAGTGCAGAGCAGAGCGGAAGAATGACTTCTCGTGTCTTGCTCACAACACACCTGTGAACATGGGAATAATAATTTCCTGCATTCAATTTGCCTGGGGTACAATTAGTTGTAAATGAAGATTTACAAAGGAACCTGACCCTGATATAGTCCTTTCCATCACAGAACTTAAAGCACTTTCCAAAAGAGAAATGTGTTCTTCACCCCATTCTGTAAAGAAATGTGTCATGCCCCAGCGTACCTAGACCTTTCATGGCAGAAAGCTCATATTTCTTGTATTCTGAGCCAATGTCTTAAGTCAGTGACTTACACACTGGTCTAAACTGAATCCCTTCCAAGGCAATATAGCAAACCATGGAAAATGCAGGGGTTCACGGCATGTCTTTCAGGTGGCAAAGGGCAATCATTACAGAGTTGGGAAACCACAAATGGATTTACTAGCTGCTTAGAGTAACATTAGCTCTCTCTCTGAGTCAAGTCATGGACAATTGGTAGGTCACAGAAGTCATGACAGTGATC